AAACAAATTGAGCAAAGTTGCAGGGGACAAAAGCAACAAACAAAAACAAGCTGTGTTTCTACACACCAACAATGAACAAAGCAAAAAGGAAATAGAGAGAACATTCCACGAACAATAGCATCTAAAAGAATAACAGACCTAAGAATAAATTTAACCAAGGAGGCGAAAGACTTGTCCACGGAAAATGACAAAACATCACTGAAAGAAATTAAAGAAGACCCCCCAAAAATGGAAAGACATCCACCTGTTCCTGGGTAAGAAACATTTTAATGTTGTTAAAATGCAATCTAAAAATTTGATTCAATCTCTATAAAAACTCCAACAGCTTTTTTTGCAGAAATGGAAAAGCACATCGTCGAATTCATACAGAATTACAAGGAAGCCCAGAGAGAGAAAAAGAAATCTGAAGAATGATAAGATCGAATGACTTGCACTTCCTGATTTCAAAACTTACCATAAAACTACCGTAAGCAGCGCAGTGTGGCACAGCTGTAAGGACAGATATAGAGACCAATGGCACAGAACTGGAACTGACAGGAGTGCCAAGTCCGTTCAACGCGGAAAGGACAGGCTCTTCAACAGTGGTACTGGGAACCATGGACTCTCCACACGCAGAAGATAAAACCTGATCCCTAACCTCACGTCATATATCAAATTAATTCAAAATGGATCAAAGACTTCAGTGTAACAGATAAACCCATAAAACTCTTAGTAGAAAACAGGAGATCTTCATGGCCTTAACTTTGGTAATACGTTCTGAGATGACACTAAAAGCATGAACAACAAAAGAAAAAATAGATAAATTAGAACTTCATCAAAATGAAAACTTCTGTGCATCAAAGGACAGTATCAAGAAAGTGAAAAGCCCTGGCCGGGTGGCTCCGTTGGTTGGCGTGTTGTCCCATACACCAAAAGGGTGTGGGTTCGATTCCCGGTCAAGGCACACACCCACACGGTGAGTTCGACTCCCAGTCGGGCATGTATGGAAGGCAACGAACGAGTCGATGTTTCTCTCTCGCATCGATGTCTCTCACCCCCCACCTCTCTAAAAGCCAATAGATTCTCGGGTGAAGATTAAAATAAATAAATAAATAGTTCACAGAATAGAAAAAAATATCTGCAAATCATATATCTAACGAAGGTATAACAGCCAGAATAGATAAGGAACACCCAAAATTCAACAACAAAAAGACGACCCAATTAAAAGATGGGTAAAGGACTTGATGTATATTTCCGGAAAAAGATATATATACAAATGGCCAGTAAACACAGGAGAAAATGCTCAACATTATTAGTCGTTAGGGAAATGTAAATCAAAACCACACAGAGATACCACCACTTCACACCACTGGGGCGACTAATAGGAAGGGAGGGGGGAGAGAGAAGGGAAAGGAAAAAGGGGAAAAAGGCAAGTATTGGTGAAGATAGGATATGGAGAAACGGTTCGCACATCACAGGTGAGCATGTAAAACGGGGCAGCTGCTGCGGAAAACAGTTTGGCAGCTCCTAAAAACGCTAAACACAAACTGCTGTGCGACTCGACAATTCCATTCCTAGGTATGCACCCAATAGGATTAAAAGCGGGGACTCACACAGATACCTGCACACCAGCATTCACGGCAGTGCTATCCGCAGCAGCCAAAGGGGGGAAAGCGACCTGTGTCTACGAACGGACGAATCAATTAACAAAATGTGATGCATACATATAATGGAATGGGACTCGGCCATAAAAAGGAACGAACGTCTGATACAGGCCACAACATGGATGAGCCCTGAAAACGTGCTTAGTGAAATAATCCAGACACAGAAGGACAAATCCAGTGTGATTCCACCTCCATGAAATATCTAGAATACGCAAATTCAGAGAAATGAAAAGTAGAAGAGAGGTAACCAGAGGCTGTGGGAGGGGAGGGTGAGTACAGAGTTTCTGTTCGGGGTGATGAAACGTTCTGCAAATAGATAGTGGTGAGAGTTGCACAACTTTGTGAATATAATTAATACCACTGCACTGGATACTTAAAGATGGTTGCAATGATAAACTGTATGTTATGCTTATTTTTACCATAAAAAAGTTAAAATGGTAAATGTTATGTTAATACATTCTATCACAAACATATTTCTAATTCGGTTCCTCGGCCACGCTAGCCACGCTTTAACTGCTCACTAGCCACACGGGGCCGGTGGCTGGCCACCAACCACCACAGTGGACAGCGCAGGCACAAAACATCTGCAGCACCGCAGGAAGTTCTGTTAAACACAGCTGTTGTCTAGAAGCTGAAACCACGCGTCCCAAATGCCAGGTGATTAGTAAGCGAGGGAAGCGGAGAAAACTGTGCACTCAAGAAAGCGCGTGCTCTAGCGGTTCCCGCAGCGATCAGCTGCACTGAAAAGCCGTGACAGGCAGTCGCAGGGCGCCTCCCCGGCAAAGGAAGGAGTGCGTGGGGCCAGCTCCTCCTCCAGAGGCTGTAAGAGGAGCAGGAGTCCTAGACATTCGGGGACCCGACAGCAAACAGAATACCGAAAGAAACTGCGACCTGAGTCACAGGTGATAGGTTTGGCTCTATGCTCTGTGGGTCTTGGTTTCCTCATCGATAAAAACAGGGGGTTCAACTAGATGTTCCCTAACATCTTTCTGTACCCCCAAATGGACAATTCTAGGTTCTTAACTTTCTGATCTGACTGGTATTTAAAAATATATATATGAAGGAAGACTGCCTGAAAGGATCAGCCAGCTGCACACAAGAACCAAGAGGGACTTCGCTGTTCCAAAGCCTGGGCGCCGGCCCACACCCACGAAGTCGAGTCCCTGCGGTGGTGCCCAGGCACCTGGGGGTTTTAAAAGCTGCCAAAAGCATTCTGATGCACAATGAGAGGTAAGAACTACTGTGCTAGAATATAAGCGACTAAACACTTCAGGGGAGAAAAAAATAACAGAAAACGCTCTCCTCTCCCCTTGCCAGGCAACCAAAGCCACATCCACAGAGAGGCAATGACAAGAAGAGGGTGATGTATGTTACAAATATAAATCCTCTGAATTTGATCTGCCTCAAAAAGAGCCAAGTCGAAAACAGGGTATTACTAAAATAAGAATTGTGAAATACATTCACATGTGTTAAAATAGGAATCGCCTAGTAAAATGTTTAAGTGCTAGGTTTTCTACCTAAAGCTCGCGGAAGGAAAGGAAGTTTGCACAGAGGGGGAGACGTCTTACGGCTGCAGGTTGGCATTCTAAAGGGTCGGGCCTCCGGGGCATGGGCAGCTGTCTCCGAGGTGGGCCCAGGGGACAACTGCTCAGAAACCTTTCTGCCAGCAGCCTGCCAAGCGACCCATCCTTTGCTACTTCTGTCACAAACTTAAATAAAGCAAAAAGCCATGCTTTAGTGATTCACAGACAACAGAGTGCAAAGCTGGAGGAACTGCTTCCCAAAGATCATTCTTGAAGAAGATGACTAACATTTCCTGGAAGGCTCGGTGCTAAGCAGTTTCCAGATATTCTCTCACCGAATGCTCGCACCACCACATGAGGTATGTACCATTATCAGCATTTCATAGTTCAGGAAACCGAGAGACAGACATCAGGAAACTTGCTCAAAGTCGCGCAGCTGGGAGTAGAAGAGCTGCCAGCTCTAGGTCTGATCCCAGGGCAGTGCCCCCCATCTTCCTGCCCCCGTGTCTCCGGCTGACTGCGGGCAGGTGGGAGGGGAGAGGCGAACAGGGGACAGCGCCAGAGCAGCGTGCTCCGAGGGCGACTATAGCTGGGGACGCCGAGGAAAGGGAGTCCCTGTGTACCTGAGGAAAGGGAGAGACACAGCGCTCCCCAATCCCCCCAGCCTGGGCTGTAACGTACACACCAAATTTCTAAGGAACAGATACGAGGTGAGTGAAGCGAAAGACACAGGAGACACAGGAGGCAGGAAGGGGGCTTCCGCTCTGGAGACGGGGAGGGAGCAGCAAGGTGAGCTAAATGGGGGCGGACTGCGCTCTGAAAACAGAACAGCTCCCCGAGGGAGGGGCTGTTTCAGTTCACTGGGAAAGTGCGTTTCCTCTGGAAGACAGTCAGGACGTGTGACAGATAACATGAACGTCAGGCGCCACAGAAGCACAGTCCACCCTCCAGCCAGTACACGGCCCTCCGGCCTCCAGACCAGAGTTCGCGTAGGTGAGGGGCCTGAACCGCTCTAGGCCTCCAAGCGTGACGGGGGCGGGACCGCAGCCCCTCCGAAGGCCGCCTAACCCACTGAAGGCCGGTCCAACGGCTTTTACCAACATCCTCAAACCTAATTCTAGAGATATTATTTCAACATTCTTCCTCACCTAAACATCTTCACCCAGGGGAACCGACGGGCGTTCCAACACAGCACATTTTGACGATATTATCACTAAACTGAGAAATAGGAATGCAGCAGATAGGAAAGGGCTGAAATACAGGAGCCAAGATAAACCAAACTAGACACTAACTCTGGAAGTAAACTAACGCTTAGCTACAATCTGGGATAAAAATTAAGCTGTGTTAAGAGAGGAAAAAAAAGTGGGGGAGGGAACAAGACAGGGTGGCCTGATCACTTCTTGCTTTTATTACTTGCTGTTAAACAAACATAACAGGCAGGTACATCATTACAGAGACCAAATACAGCCCTTTTAATATGCACACCAAACATAAAAAGAGATGCCATGATTTATAAATTGTGCCGTTTAAGTGTCTGTACAAGCAGACTAACCCAGTCTTCTCGTGAATACGCTCAGGTCGCAGGATATTAACGTAATGTGAAAGCTTTAAAGGGTCTTCCAGCTGATGGGGAGTGTTTCCAGCTCACGAAAGGAAACCGGAGCGCCCTTCTTGCCAAGGCGAGGTACTCGGCCAGGGGGCAGATCTCCTGGTGCATATCTGCACTACAGAGGCAAGTAACTGCGCACCTTCCCTAGAGACAGGCAAGAGTAATAGACTTCCACAGACACTGGCATACAGTTAGAAAACAAGACTCCAAACTTTCAAAGGATACGGTCTGTACCAGGAAACAATGTTCTTCCAGTCAGCAGCTCGGCCATTATGCATCCCACCGACCAAATATCAACTGGCAAAGTTAAAGAGAAGTAAAAGTGCACACGGTTATCAGACTTGGCCACCAAGGACACTATAGCGGGGGGCGAAACACTCAGAGTAGTACTTAAGACATCTGAGGTTGCACAATCGTACTCTTTCCAGAAATAAGGAAGCTTATTAAGACCTTCACCCCACTAAAGGGCTTCATAGGGAGGACAAGTCCGGACACAATTACGACAAGAGAAATAATAAGCTGTGCGCAAAGGGGCAAGTTTCTTCTTGGTAGAAATGGTGGATTCTCCCAACTAATACTGAGAGGTTAAGATTATGGACCGTTGTCTTCAGGTAGAAATACTCAGAGAGTAAGTTGAAAACCTAAATAAATAAAAACCCAATTGCTAGATCAGAAAATTTGGAAGCTGTGTATTTAAACTTCACTCTCTGAGCAACTGAAATATTTTCTGCTTGTGGACTTGAAAAGGATCATCGAGGAAGGAAAAGATGTTTCCTCCTACTCCCATCTCTGCTTCTGAGAATCCAAATACACCCAAGGTGGCATTAGCAGGCCCCAAATAACAATGTAAGCCATACCTGTCTGGTTGTAATGCATCCAGTTCAGCATGATCTCGGGAGCCCTGTACCACCTGGTGGCCACATAGCCTGTCATCTCATCGTCTGTGTGCCGAGCCAGTCCGAAATCCAAGATCTAAGGGAGAGGAGAGACATCAGGTGCTAAAGCAGGATGGGGAAAATCCTAGTGCCTCGGAGAAAGCGAGAACACGGCACTTTCACAAACACATTTCCTGGCCTAGGCCCAGAATGCATGGCAAACACAGCACGTGCTTTGAAAAATGAAATTACAAAAAGCAAAACAAGACTGCCACTCCCAGTATTTACCCGAGAGCAATGAAAGGGAACGTCCACACAGAGACTGCACGTGAGTGCTCACAGCAGCTCTACCCAGCCTCAAACCTGGACTGACGCAAATGTCTGTCCACCAACAGATGGACGGACAAACTGCGGCATGTTCACAAACTGGATACCACTCAGCAATGAAAAAGGAATGAGCTACGCACTACAGATGAATCTCAAAAATATACTAAGCAAAAGTCACACGCAAATACTGCGTGATTCCATTTGTACGAAACTCCAGAAAAGATAAACCTACTCTATAGGGTCAGAAAGCAGATCTGTCGTCTGCAGCCAGGATGAGGGGTGGAGGGGTGGGACCGGCTAGGAAGGGGCGCAGGGAACTCTCTGAGCTGATGGAAATGTTCATCATAACTGAGTTGGTGGTTACATGGGTATATAAACTTGTCAAATGTGGGCTTAAATTGATGCACGTTAGTAACGTTTCAAAAACATTGAGTAAAAAATGTAAATTATGTTTCAAAAACATTGTAAATTACGTTTCAAAAATAGTAAAAAATGAAATGAAACCTGAAACTAATACAATATTGTATGTCAACTGTAATTGAAAGATTTTTTTGAATTATTAAAAAAAGAAATTAAAAAAAATCCAGAGCTGTTTGTTCTTCATAGACAATTTACTGATCTCTTATTTGAATTATTTTGAATGAATAGGTTTTTACAGTATTTTCTATTTAATCTAATAATTCTCTCTTCAGGATTGCTTACTTGATATTCAGACTACAATGTTCCTTTATTATAACAATATACTAAATTTCAGATTTAACTTTTAGAATGAAAACAAGATATCGGATGCTTCCTTTAACGTCACTTAAAACTAAAGCTTACTTAAGTCTACGGTTTAAATTTCAAAGTCTGATACTCCCGAGGACAATATGACCTTCCAGATAAAACGTCACGGCTTATACATCCATCCCCTACATAAATCTGCCTGGTTAATCAAACATGTAATTATGAGGTGAAACAAATACTTCCCACCATCTCTTCCCCTTACCTTCAGCTCACAGTCTTCATTCACGGCTAGATTGCTAGGTTTCAGGTCCTAGGAAGGAAGGGCAGAGAGGACAGGAGCAGCTTTATGGCGCAGGGTGAATTCCCTCCTTAGATCCAAACATAATATTAAGACTTCGCCCAGCCATAAGCAGACAATCCCCATTCTGTCGTCACTATCTAGTCCTAATTAGCCTTAAATAGGTAAAAACTATACATCTTTTCTCTTTAATCAGTTTAAACCTAGAGTAAAGTTGCAATTAATCAATATTTCAATGGCTAAAATAAGCTTAGAGTCTTGGCTAAATGACAGT